GTTCCACAATCAGCTTCTGGTTTTGTTTAGGCTGAAGATATTGAGCTTCTCCATTGCTTCTTGCCACAGATGTAGTCAATCTGATTTTTGTGTACTCCATATGGCAAAATCCACGTGTACAGCCACCATTTGTGTTGTTGAAAAAAGGTATTTGCAATGAATAAGTCGTTGGTCTTGCAAAATTCCATCATGCATTATTTCTACCTCAAATGCCAAATTTTCCAACTACCAGTGATTCTTCTTTATGTCCAACTTTTGCATTCCAGTTACCAATGATAATCAGCCCATTTTATATGCACATTTGATCAATTTCAGACTGCAGAAGTTGGTAAACATCTTCAATTTCCTCATCTTTGGCTTTGGTGGTTGGTGTGTAAATTCAAATAATAGTATTACTAACTGGCTTTTCTTGCAGGTGTATGGATATCATTCTGTCACTGATAGCATTGTACATTAGGACAGATCTTGTAACATTCTTTTTCAATTTGTCATTCCCAGCACAGTAGATCATGTAGTAATATGATTCAAAATGGTCAAAACTGGTCCATTCAGCTCACCAATGCCTAGGATATCGATCTTTATGCATTCCATTTCATTTTTGACAACTTTCAATTTTTCTGGATTCATACTTCATACATTACATGTTCTGATTATCAATGGATGTTTGCACCTGTTTCTTCTCATAGTCAGTCGTGCCACTTAAGCAAAGGAGGCCCTGAAAGCTCTACTGTCTCCATATCATTAAGGTAGGCTCTAGTCTGATGAGGAAGCTCTTTCCCAGTCATATTTTGAGTGCCTTCCAACGTGAGGGGCTCATCTTCCAGCACTGTATTTGACAGTGTTTCAGAGCTATTCATAACATTTTCCAGTAATATACCAGACAGGGTTTCACTACTATTCATAAGGTTTCCACTGGCCAATTCTTTGAGAAGGAGACAGCCTCTTCCTTTTTCTGAGTCTGCCTCGGTCTGGAAGCTCCACCAAAAGCGGTCCACCATGGGCACCCCTGCTGGCACAGCCTCCAACCTCACATCGACGCGTAAGCCACCACAGTATGACAAACTGACAGACGAGGTTATCTCCTTTAGCTGTTCCAACAGCTCTGCTCACTTCCTGGGCTTCCCCCTACCTGTTACTGCCACCCCTGTCTGGCGCTGCTCCCTGCTTCCTGTTCCCTGCCTGCCTTACCTGTTCCGGCCACCAGACGTCTGCCACTGCGCCATGGTGGAATCTACTGTGAGCAGCCAAGTAGCTGTCTTAGGGATGTGATCTGCTTCCAGTATATATGGAGAAGTTTTAGGACTCGCACATTTGAATACTGCACGTAGCCGAGTCATTACTCAGCAGCCTGTCAATCTTGAAACTCTTAATAGACTTGAATCAATGGCCTGCCATATGGTTTGGTGATATCGAGACTGTGCTGTTTTACTGGCAGACCTTGAGTTTGTGAGCCTCAGCAGCCCGCAGCTGCCTAAGTGAAGAGACACCTCCAGCTTCATTGGGCTATGAGCAAGAGACAGAGCTGAAGTCCAAGGCCCAGGGGCTTTCACCCAGCCCCTAGAGCCTGGCACTTTGAACTTGGACTTCCAGCCTCTAAAACTGTAATCCCTGTTTGTTCCAGCCACCCACTTGTGGGACTTTTTTGTTAGCGTGGCATGAGAGGTGACCAAAACACTTTCAGTTCAATCATCTCTGATTTTCATCAAGGGATGGAGGATGCTGGATTCTCTGTGGCCTCAAGGATTTATACGCTCAGTTTCCCCAACTGAAATCCTGTTTACACCCATCTGCTATCACACAACCATAAAACCAAAAACCAAACTCACTGCTGTGGAGTCAGATCTGACTCACAGCGACCTCTCCTTGAGTTTCCAAGGCAGTATCACTACTGAAGTAGATTGCCCAATCTTCCTTCCAAGGAATGGCTGGTGGATTTGAACCACCAGCCTTCTGGTTAGCAGTCAAGTGCCTTAGACACTATGCCACCAGAGCTCCCTCACACAACCATACAAGTAGCTAAATTTTCTGAAACTTCACTTAGATATTTTGACTAGTCTTGTTCCAGAGATTTCCCAATTTGCCCTCAGTCCTAATATCGAATGTGCTAACACTGGGTAATATGATTGGTTTGTGCTCCAAGAAGCCTTCCACCTTTTAAGAACTGTGGTTCTTTGGGGGCAAAGACTGTGGTTCAATCCATAGGGTCCACTGCAGCAGACACACATACTGTGGGTTTGAGCTTCATACACCCTTCCTCACCTAGAGTAACATCGTTCAGCAACATCACATTTCGTATTAGACCAACTCCGGCTGGCCAAACGGTTCCTCACAAGGTCTTGATGAAAATGTCTGCCTTCCAGCCAAAGAAATGCGTAGAAACATGCCAGCTACTAACTGTTTTGTCCTGGAATTGGGATAAATATGATCCCATGTGTACATACTAGTTCCAACTCAGTTTCTCAAGTCTTCCTCTCTCTTAAGCACCTAGAACCGTCCATGGAGAGGGAATGAATTCCTCACCTTATTCTCAAGTTATGAATGACTAGCAACACTCAACACAAGTCCTGCCTGAAGAGACATAGAAAACAAAGAGGAACCTTTTCAGACAGGAAACTGTGGTCGAGAATTCGCCCCCTGAGGTAGGAACAGACCTGCCCTTGAGTTCACAGACTGGCCCTCACTAGACACCTCTTCACGCACAAACGAGGGGTCCGGCAGTGTTACCTGTTTCCGCACCGGGAGACGCAGGTTCGCCCCCGCTGCTTGGCGTCCACAAAGCGAGTGCAGCCGCGGTGACGAGATCGCGCGGGAAGCTGCGGCGGCGGCCCCGGCGACTGGAGGCCCCGAGAAGCCAAGAGACTGAAATGCGTAGTAGAGCGGGGGCAGCGCCTCGAACCCGGAACCCAGGGCTGCGGGGCACCCGCTAAAGAAGCGGACCAAACGCCGACTTTAGGAAAGAGCTACCTGCTACTGGAGCAGAAGCTGGAACCACGCGCCCGCCGACCAAACCGGAGGCACACTTCCGTGTCCGGTTTCTGGGTTCTCGGTGCGCGGAAGGATAGCTCCGTGGGGAAACCCAAAGCTCTCCACCTGATGACCGTGGGATTCCGTGGCTACATGTTGCGTGTGGTTCGACCCACGGCTGCCCTTACTTCCTCTCTAGAAAAAAAGCTTAGAGTTACTTCAATCCGTTTGTGAACTGAAATGCAGATTTCTGTAATCAAAGATAGCCTTGAAGAGCAGAGAAACTTAATATTTGGTCGAGAAGATGTTAATATATTCTTTAAAGAAATAATTTCCAGACTTTACAATTGTTGAAGTCTCCTGTCTGACTTCTGTTTCATGGATTGTTGTCTTTTCATTTCAGGAATCTTTAAGAAATAATTTCCAGACTTTACAATTGTTGAAGTCTCCTGTCTGACTTCTGTTTCATGGATTGTTGTCTTTTCATTTCAGGAATCCTTAAGAAATAATTTCCAGACTTTACAATTGTTGAAGTCTCCTGTCTGACTTCTGTTTCATGGATTGTTGTCTTTTCATTTCAGGAATCTTTCCTTATGAGCTGGGCACAGAATATGCAAACCCAATGTGATCTGTCCAACTGCAGTGACCCTGCAGAGTTGTCCTGGACAAAAGGCGGGAAGGCATCAGGCATTCATCAGTGCTCCTCAAAAGACAGGTGACGAAGTGATCTTCCAGAACAACTGACAGCCTTGGAAACCATATAGGGCAGTTCTTCTCTGTCCCCTAGGGACTCTGTGAGTCGGAATCCGCTCAATGGCAGTGGGTTTGATTGGATTTCTTTGGTTTTATGCTGTTGTTAGGAGCTCTGGTAGCGTAGTACCTAAGGCACTTGACTGCTAACCAGAAGACTGGTGGTTCAAACCCACCAGCCACTCCTCAGAAAGAAGGTTGGGCAGTCTACTTCCATAGAGATACTGCCTCGGAAACCCAAGGAGGGGTCACTTTGAGTCGGGTCCGACTCAACGGCACATAACAACAACAACATGCTGTTGTTGTGTAGGGTGTTCCATAAATGTCAACTAGATCAGATTGTGGGTGTGTTTTCAGGTCTTCTACGTGCTTACTGACTTCCATATCCATGTAAACATGGGTGGAAGTTACTACCAAGATAGTCTGGAAAACTAAGAAATGCTATGAGATCAGTCTGTTTTCCTGTATTCAAAGATTAAAAAGAGTTACGACCAAGGTATCCTCAACTTCTTGGGAAATGTTCTTTCATGTTCATATTATACTTAGGGGCAAATCACAACCGCAATGCATTGTTGAACATGCTATTGGGAAAATGGACTATTCATCCGGCAAGGAATGTTTCATTCTTGGATGGCCTTGCTAGAAGGTTTTGTTTTGCTAATGTTCATCAAGATTACAGAAAATGGGACACATTACATGTTCATCACCCTGGTAACTTTCCCAATGAGAAAAGGCAGTGAGGTCAACTGACTGTAAAGTGAGATGAAATACCTTAAGACGCCATTACCAAAAGTTATTTTTGTCAAGAAAGATGAATACTGCAGGGTCTCAAAGTTCAAACTTTAGAGTCTCAATTGCAGCTCAGTCTCATACCAGCCATGAGTTTTTTGTCAGGTCACTTCCTCTTCTCAGTCTCAGTTTCCTCTCACATGAAATTGGAGATATAACAGTACCTTCTCCATAGGTGCAGGAGATTGTCTACTTGTGATTTTCTTTCATCTCTTCCATCTCCTCTTGGTAATGACATTGGGATTCTCCTTTGGGAGTTGCCTCTCCTTTAGTTTGGTCCAAATACTACAAATGAGACTCATCTCAGTTTCCAGCTGCAAGATGAGGCAGGAGACCCAGGCCTGGTATTAAGAGAACCCCAAACACAATGATTGGTTGTACAGTTAGCATATGACCTGCACACAGCCAATGAGAATCTATTCTAAGACTTTTACTTTTTAAGTTGTTGGGGGAACCCCTCTAAGGTTGTTACCTTGATAGGATGTAAGCATACAGTTGATGGCACTCACGCCATGATGAGAATAGTCTTAAGGACGAAGCAACACAGATGGAAGTAAAGCAGAGAAAAAGAAAGTATCCTGGTGATATACCTGAGCCCATGCATGCAGCCACATTTCAGCCAACTTCCAAGCTTATGAGACAATATATTTTTATTTGAAAAGTTTTGATACATATTTTCCGTAACTAGAACCAAAAACTTCACTAATTTTGGGTTCTTGGGATGATAAAATGATATTATAAATTTAAAATGCTTAAGATCTTACAGAGAAGAACTGATCAATTTAATAACACATATTATTAGTCTGTGGCTGAATTAAGTGGATTCTCTGCGACACCTAATAGAAAGAAGGAGTAACTTAACATCTGAAAAGTGTCTGTGAGGGAAATTCAGTGAACTTTTGAATTTTCTTGAAACTTTCTGAGGACAGCAGGTTGTTACAAAAATTAATACTAGGAGAAAAAAAAACACACAGAACAAAACCTTTTGACTCATGTTTTTGTTTTTCATACCATGGAAGGCATTATACTGATAAAAATAAACAAATATGGACGTCATTTCTGTGAAATTGATAATGGACTTTCATAAACACCAGTGGTCTATATTTTGTTTTAATGACAAAATATTCTTACTATTTGGGAATTGGAAAAAATCTGTATTCAAAATTCTTTCAAATATGATTTCTAGTCTATCTTTTCTACTGTCTGCAGTATGGATTTCACCTCAATATAAAGAAAACAAAAATTCTCACAACTGGACCAATAAGCAACATCACAATAAATGGAGAAGAGTTTGAAATTAGCAAAGACTTCATATTATTTGGTTCTACAATCAACACCAATGGAAGCAGCAGTTAAGACATCAGACAATGTATTGCATCGGACAAATCTGCTTCAAAAGACCTCTTTCAAAAGCAAAGATGTCTCCTTGAAGACTACGGTGCAGCTAACCCAAGCCAGGGTATTTTCAATCGCCTCATGTGTATGTGAGAGCTGTATGATGAAAAAAGAAAACTGAAGAATAACTGATGCTTCTGAGTTGTGGTGTTGGCAAAGAATACTGAGAGTCCCATGAACTGATACAAGGACTAACAGATCTGTCCTGGAAGAAGTGGATCCAAAATGCTCCTTGGAAGCAAGGATGGCCAGACTTCATCTCACCTACTTTCTGATGTTGTCAGAAGGGACCATTCCCTGTAGAAGGATATCATGCTTGGTAAAGTGGAGGGTCAATGAAAAAGGGAAGGCTCTCAGTGAGATGATTGACACAGTGGCTGCAACGATGTGTTCAGTACAGCAAGGATAGTAAAGCTAGCACAGGACTGGTAGTGTTTCATTCTATTGTGTATAGGGTCACTATGAGTCGCAGTCCACTCAACAGTACCTAACAGCAACAACAACAACATGGATAGAAGACTTAACATTGAAAAAATGTCAATACTATACAAAGCCTTCTATGGATAAAATGAAATCCTCATCGAGACTCCATCATCATTCTTTAAAGAGATGGAAACTATTATCACCAATTTTATACAGAAAGGAAAGACACCCCACTAAAGTAAAGCACTACTTACATAAAACAAGTAGGAGTGCTTACACATCCCAATCTCAAAACCTACTATACAACCAAGGTAGTGAAAATAGCCTGTTACTGGTACAAAAAAAGTGGCCCATACACCAATGGAATGGAATTGAAAATCCAGTAGGAAATCCATCCACCTACAGACAGCTGATCTTTGACAAATGGACAAAACTCATTAAATGGGGAACAGATACTCTTTTTAACAAATGGCCTGGGCATAACTGGATATCCATTTGCAGGAAAATTAAACAGAACCCATATCTCACACCATAGACAAAAACAAATGCTAGAAGGACCCAAGACCTCAATATAAAATCTAGAAAGACAGAGAGCATCTAAGAAAAAATAGGGACAAACTTCGGGGCCCTGATACCTGGCATACATACATAAATACTATCAAACATAACCAAAAGTGCACAAACATCAAAAGACAAAATAGATGACAGGGACCTCCTAAAAGTTAGACACGTGTACACATAAAAAGATTTTACCAAAAGAGTAAAAAGGGAACCAGACTGTGAACACTGTTTTATCAATGACATATTGGGCAATGTGCTAATCATTAAAATTTACAGAAAACATCAACACTTCAAAAACAAAAAGACAAGTAATCCAATTAAAAAAATAGGCAGAGGATTTGAACAGACACATCACCAAAGTCTTCAAGGTGGCCAACAAACATGTGAAGAACTGATCACAAGTTAACACCGTCTCCTATCACTCTCCCTCATGCACATTCCTATGACCACACTGGCTGCCTTGATGGCCTTGAACATCTGAATCAAAACTCTTCCTCAAGGACTTTGCATGGTCTGTGTGCTCTGTGGCGCACATTTCCCCACACGTCCTTCCCTCTGATTACATGTTGCCTGGTCTGCTGATCTGGTCAGAACACCAAGTAAAAAAAACCAGCAACCCCTCTTCACTCTCTCCCGTACACCTGCTGTCTTTCCCTTCAGAGCACTTGTCACCTTCTGATGTGGTACATGATTATGTTATTTGATTGTATTCTGCCTCCACCATTGGATTGTATGGATTTTCGCTTCTCAGCACTGTGTACCTAGTGCCTACACAGTGCCTGGCACATAGCATTCAATATATATTCCTGAAGTGAACTCAGGTGAACTGAAACCATACAACACATGAGTGCTTGGGGAAATGGCTAGAGGAGGGGCAGGAATTCACTAGGGATTCCCTAAAGAAGATGAGACCCATAAGCAAAATAGACTAATTAATTCCTGTGCTGCAGACCACAAACCATCCCATTCCTGCTAGATTTGTAACGTTTGTTTGTGTGAAAACAAGTCATGTTATTTTTTTCTTTCCCACTCATCAGTACAACCATGTACAACCAGAAAATGACACATGAATTTTAGACTTTCTTCTGGGATTTTGAGAGGAACGAAATTTGCCACCCTTCCTGTTCAGGCCTTGCTGTCCATGTAGCTGGTCACCTTCACTGGGAACCTGACCATTATCCCAGTCTTCAGCTCAGACTCCCACCTCCCCAAGCAGGTACTGCCTCCTCCCCAAGTTGTCCTTGCTCATAACACCTCCACCTCCATCACTGTCCTCAAGATGCTGCTGAGTATCTGGGCAGGGAATAAACTCATAGATTCTGAAGGGTGCCTTAGCGGAATGTACTTTATTATGATTTTTTCAATATATACAAAAAACATTTTAATATGTATCAGGCGTTTATATATGCAACTACCAAGGAAGAAGACCTTGTTAATTTTTGTATCCTCAGAACCAACACAATGTTGAAAGAAAAAAAAAAAAAAGAAGAAGTCTTTGTCTGGAATAGATAAGAATAAAATCCACATCCTTTTTGTCACCAACCAAACTTCCAGCTTACTCTGTCCTCTGCTAATTGCATGGCCTGTTGTTGTTATGTTGTCAGGTGCTATCTGTCTCTGTCTCATAGTGACCCCGTGGACAACAGAACGCAACACTGCCTGGTCCTGTGCCA